ATTTTCCCCGTAGAATCCTTCAGTATTGCAACTTGAGGCTTGAATTTTTTCTTCAGTTCTTTCTGTTTGAGAAAGGCCAAGCGTGTTCTTCCCTTTTGGTTTTCTAACTCCACGTCTTTGCACATGTCATTACAATGCTTTGTCTTCTGGAGCCGCCCTTTAAAATCTGCTGTTTGGCTCTTTTACGTCATCATTTCTTCCATTTGCTTTAGCTACTCTAGTTTCAAGAGCAACTTTCAGAGTCTCTTCTGACATCCATTTTGGTCTTTTCTTTCTTTCCTGTCTTTTTAATGACCTCTTGCTTTCTTCATGTATGATGTCCTTGATGTCATTCCACACTCGTCTGGTCTTGGGTCATTAATGTTCAGCGTGTCAAATCTGTTCTTGAGATGGTCTCTAAATTCAGGTGGGATATACTCAGGGTCATAATTTGACTCTCCTTGACTTGTTTGAATTTTTCTTCAGCTTCAACTTGAACTTGCATATGAGCAATTGATGGTGTGTTCTGCAGTCGGCCCCTGGCCTTCTTCTGACTGAGGATATTGAGCTTTTCCATCATCTCTTTCCACAGATGTAGTCAATATGATTCCTGTGTATTCCATCTGGTGAGGTCCACGTGTATATTCGCCATTTATGTTGGTGAAAAAAGGTATTTGCATTGAAGAAGTTGTTGGTCTTGCAAAATTCTATCATCTGGCATCGTTTCTATCACCAAGGCCATATTTTCCAACTACAGATCCTTCTTTGTTTTCCAACTTTCGCATTCCAATCACCGGGAGTTATCATTGCTTCTTGATTGCATGTTGATCAATTTCAGACTGCAGAAGTTGGTAAAAGTCTTCAATTTCTTCCTCCTTGACCTTAGTGGTTGGTGCATAAATTTGAACAATAGTTGTATTAACTGGCCTTCCTTGTAGGAGTGTGGATATTACCCTATCCGTGACAGCGTTGTACTTCAGGATAGATCTTGAAATGTTCTTTTTGACAGTGAACGCGATGCTGTTCCTCTTCAATTTGTCATTCTCAGCAGAGTAGACTTCACGATTGTCCAATTCAAAATGGCCAATACCGGTCCATTTCAGCTCATGAATGCCTAGGAAGTGTTCCATTTCATTTTTGACAACTTCCAGTTTTCCTAGATTTCATACTTAGTATATTCCATGTTCCGATTATTAATGGATGTTTGCATCTGTTTCTTCTCGTTTTGAGTTGTGCCACATCAGCAAATGAAGGTCCCAAAAACTTGACTCCATCCATGTCATTAAGGTCAACTCTACTTTAAGGAGGCAGCTCTTCCCCAGTCGTATTCTGAGTGCCTTCCAGCCTGAGGGACTCATCTTCCGGCACTGTATCAGACAGTGTTCCACTGCTGTTTGTTAGACGCAGACTGGAACAGGTGTAATTCTTCTATGTTGTAGATTATAATTTGAAAGAGTACTATTTGTTGTTTATTTTGCTTATTATTTGAAATTGTGCACACTTGCGTATATTTTGTGGCCATCGCCTGTATGTGTGTCATCGCCCGCCCCGACCCCCGGGTTTCGTGCGTTCTCTTTACGTCCAGCGCCCCATTTTCCACCTCTGCGCGTCGTGCGTTCTCTTTACGTCCAGCGCCCCATTTTCCACCTCTGCGCGTCTGAAGCTGTAGATTGTGGCCACTTGGTTTTGTCAGCTCCCTGTTTTTGAAACAGACTGGGGCAGGACTAACGTATTTTTCTTCCTGTTGTATCACTTGCCTTAAAAATAACCTATTACCCTCTCTCGTCACCCCTCCCCTAAAAAAAAACCCTAAAGAGAAGTTCCATCTCTATACTAGGCTTTTAATTGGGTTGAAGGAATGCTCAGTAGGGAACGTTTAATCCAAATGCAAATTGTTTACCTTTGAAAGGGGAAAGGTCGCTTACTTATTTGACTATTCCATAAAATAGGTGAAGAGATATTCTCAGTTCCTCTCCCTGTCCCCACACACTCAGTGGTTGCACTTTGTCCTTTTTGTTTGTCCTTTCTCTTGCAGACAATGTAGAGTAAATGGAAAGACAGGCTGCCTTTGGTTCCGGGCTCTGTCCCTTTGTTGAGGAAGTCTGTGGGTACATGAGTGGCGCTCGGAGGCACGGTTTTCTCGTTGGTGACCACCTTGCGGGGTTGCTAATAATTAGGTGCGTAGCATAGGGCCTGGCACACAGTAGGAGCTCGGAGGCGTGGTTTTCTCGTTGGTGACCACTTTTCAGGCTTGCTAATAATGAAGTGCCTGGCACGGACCTGGCACACAGTAGGAGCTGTTAATGCTAGCTGCTGGGTTCTCATTGTGGTGGTTCTTTCTTACTTTAACTGACATAAATTTTCTGTCGCTTTTTTTCTTTGGCGCATTCTTCTTTCCTTCATACACGTGGAAGGAGCTGCTTGCAGGTCGGGGAGTTTAATCTGAACTAATTCATGTGAACCTTTACACCCTTTTTACAGATGAAGAAATTGAAGCACAGAGATACTAAATAGTTTTCCCAAAGTTTCACAGCAATTAAGAGGCACAGCGGGGATTAAAATCCTGCCCGTCTGGCTCGGGGGTTTGCACTCTTACCTAATCGGGGTGTTGTACTGCTTCTCCGTGCAGGTGGAAGAGAAGAGGGTTTCCAGCCAGACGTACCTAGGTTCTTAGCCTGACTTTCGTGCAGTGGAACTTTGCCCCTGGGTGAAATCCCTAGGAGTAGGTAGTCTCCTCTGTGGAGCTGATCTTTCCTGCCCTTTAGATTTCAGACCACCATCTATGGGAAGACCTTTTATAGAGCCGTGTGGGATACTGGTAACATTGGGCTACATGTGCTGAATACTATGTATCATATGTAGAAAGTACGATTACCTAGGCGAAAACTGCCAGCGGCTGTCAGGTGAACTCCAACTCATGGCGACCCCGTATGTGTCAGAGTACTGTTGTGCCCCATAGGGTTTTCGGTGGCTATTTTTTGGAAGCAGGTTGCCAGACCTTTCTTCCAGGGTGCTTCTGGGTGGATTCGAACCTCTAACCTTTCAGGTAGCACGGAGCACATTAATGTTTACACCACCCAGGGACTCCAGCTTAAAACTACCTCTGCTAGTTTTCAGATGAAGTTAAGCTGTTAACCATGTGGTAATCAGATGAGAAAGAGCCCTGGTGGAGCAGTGGTTAAAGCCCTCAGCTGCTTATCGGAAGGCCGGCGGTTCGAACCTACCAGCATCTACTCCTATAAAGATTACAGCCTACGAAACCCAGTGGGGCAGTTCTACTCTGTCCTTTAGGGTCATGAGTTGGAATCGACTTGACAGCATATAACAATAACAATCACATGAGAATCAACATATCGAACTTTTAGTGAGAATTATGGGTGATTGAAGCCCTGGTGGTGCAGTGGTTAAGAGCCCATCTGCTAACCAAAAGGTCAGCAGTTCAAATCCACCAGCTGCTCCTTGGAAACCCTGTGGGGCATTTCTGCTCTGTGTTATAGGTTCACTCTGACTTGGAATTGACTCGACGGCAGTGGGTTTATGGATGATCATTCGATGGCAGTGGGTTTATGGATGATTACTGAAATGTTTTGCCTTTTGTAAACTAGATTCATTGAATCTAGAGATAACTAGAACTGAGTTAGAAAATTAGTTCTTTGAAAAATATAAAAGCTTGGATGTCAGTTTCATTCTGGAATTCAGACTGAAGTTGTAACTTGAGGGCAAAAAGATGAAAAACTCAGAATAATAGAATAGAGAAAATAGATCTTAATTTTTTGCTTTTAAAAATATTGCTTATCCATAAAAATTATTCCTACTTTGAAATTGTTAAGACTTAGCTGACTGAAAACATGGAACATTTTCCATGTTCAGTGTTTTTCTTGAAGGAAATACAGGAAGAATTTCTTAACTTTATTATCATTCTGAATATTTTTTACTATAGAGCTGTTCTGAGCCCCCATTCTTCTGTGCTCAGTGGATCTGGTAGGTTAAGCGGTAGAAGCTACTTCACTGTATAACACTTGGCTACATCCAAAGTATCTTCGTTTTTTTTGTTTTTTTTTAGATAAACTATGTTTTAGATGTGAATCTTAAATTCCTTGAGTGAAAACAGTGTGAACATGGGCTAGATTTAAGCATTAAATAATATGTATCAATATCCTGCCCCTTTTTTTTTATTTTGGAGAGACGAGTAATGCTTTTTGCTGTTTAGATGGCGCTGGGGTCTCTGACTTGGATCATTAGTCTGGGATCCTGGTGTAATCAGCGTTCGACTGCGAGAGGCAGCCTTTCTCTCTTTCTCTCTCCCCCCTCCTTCTCTCTGCTAGAATTAAAAAAAATGAGAATACATCCAGTGTTTTATACATTTTATATACTTAACGCTATTGAATCTCCTTGAAAATTTGGTATCTGGATGGTTTTAACGTTTGCCACTCAAGATTGTGTTACCTAACCTTACTTACCAGCCACTCTGGTTTGCTCCTTTAAAAGAAGCCTTGAAGTAAATGGCATCCACTACATTTGAGTGCTGATTCATTGTAGCTGTCACATGTTTTTGCTCTTAAGAAGATCCCCACTGGGTTGGTAGTGGAAAGAAAGAAGATCCATGTTTTTTCCTGTACCCGTTTTCTGTTCACCCCCGTCCCCTATTTATGTACTATTTTATATATTATACATTTGTATATTGTATTTTAATACTCTTCTCTTGTTAGTCACCTTTCCCCCTTCCTTAAGTTGATAGAAATTTAAACCTTTGAGGCCACACTCAAAATCAGAGCACGTGGCCTGGTGCGCCCTTGTGGCCTGGGAAAGGGGGCTGGCAGTGTCCTAGCTGTGCTGCTGCAGCTTTGATTAAGGACAGCCCTGGAGAGTACAGAACGGAGTATGCTGCTCGTAGGGGAACAAGGAGGAGCCCTGGTGGCGCAGTGGGTAGGCACTTGGCTGCTAACCAAAAAGTCAGTGGTTTGAACCCATCAGCTGCTCCAAGGGAGAAAGATGTAGTAGTCTGGTTCCATAAAGATAATAGCCTTGGAAACCCTGTGGGGCAGTTCTCTGTCCGGTAGGGCTGCTATGAGTTGGAACCAACTCAAATGGCAGTGGGTTTAGGAGAACAAGTGTTAACATTTATTCTGGACACCGGGAGCCCACAGAGAAATGGTGAGAACACGTTGTAAGTACAAGAAGGGGAGGGTGCTTATCAGACTCTGCAGGACTGGGATTGCCACTTGGCCTAGTGGGAACCCGCTATCAGTTCTCTGCTGGGTGGTACTCATTACTGGCCAGTATGGTCTTGGCAGTGGGTAGATTGGCCTAGTGGGAACCCACTATCCGTTCTCTGCCGGGCAGCACTCATTATTGGCCTGTATGGTCTTGGCAGTGGGTAGATGTAGCTCTTTTTGTGAAAATATATTGCTGTTGCCCCACTTAACAGAAATTTATACTTAAACCAGTTAAAGTAGTTTACCGTTACGTATGTTTTTTTCAAATAATATGACATGGAATGAAATAATTCACTTGTATAATTTTGTTATTAGTTTGTGTGGGTAGGATAGTTTTTCATCCCCGTGTTCCCATAGGTTTCTGACGTCTAGCTCAATGACAGGGGATCACTAACAGAGTGAACAGCTCTTTCTGGCCCCCAGAGGTGACGGAAGTTCTGTTTTCCCTTCTCTCATCAACACAGGTGGTGGAAGTTTCAGGGAACAGAGTTGTGGATTTAATACTGTATGGTAAAACCCCAGATAAACCTGGTGGTTTTGCTGCATTCAGCTTTTAGGAGAATGGGGAAAGTCCTGCAGAGAAGTTACAGCACATTTAATTAAAAAGTAACTCTCAGGGCGTGGCGGGGGTTGGGTGTCCTTCCAGGTCAGTCTGCAGCATTGTGCAGTGGTCGCAGATGATTGCAGTGACCATCCGGCACTTTGCTGTTCTTCATTTAGCTGCATGAGTGTATATCCGTATGCTGTGTTTGTCTAGGGAGAAGGATACACTAGCAAGCTTAAAACCAATTTTTCAGAACAAAAGTTGAAATCAGAATGGTTTTCTTGTTAATTTCCAGTTAAAGAGAAAATTAGGGTAGTTTTCTTCCTTGGCGTTCAATCTCAGTGTGGGTTTGTTTTAATTAAATAGTAAATCTTGAGAAGGAGGCATTTTTTCAAAAGGGGGAAAACTGGAGATTTGAGAGGTGTGTGGTCTACTGGGAATCAGTTCCACCCCAGGTTCCCTGTGTCCATTCATCCAGTTCCTGTCCTTCCTGCTTTTGGACAGGAACAGCCCTTTTGATTTCGTATATTTGATTGAACTAAGAAGCATGTTCGTCACATGTGTGTTATTTTTTGTTTTATAGGCTCAAGAGACCTCTCTGTTCTTGCCCCATTTCTACTAATAACAACCAGGATGACTTTCAGGCAAATTTCTCAACCTTCTAGAGCTGTTGTCTCATCTGAACAATCAAGGGGTTGAAGTTTGTGGTCTGTCACTTGGGGCCCAGAGCAAAGATTTGGGGTTCTCAGATGCGTTGCTTAGATCGCAGTATATCTGTTAATGTGTACCCTAAAGCGAAAAAAACCTGTTGTTGTTGAATCAGTTCCTACTCATAGCAACCCTATAGGACAGAGCAGAACTGCCCCATAGGGTTTCCAAGGAGTGGCTGGGGGATTCGAACTGCCAACCTTTTGGTTAGCAGCCGAGCTGCTCACCACTGTGCCCTACTGAGGTACTGCGTTTTCCCTTCACTCACAATGGTATCACAGGAGGAACCCAAGTATTTTGCTGAGAGGGGTATGTGGATTTGGGAGGGAGAAGAGTAACAGCAGGGAGGCTAGGATTGCAGGGGAGGCCAGCCCGGGGCAACGGGTGGGCAGGGAAGGGGGGAGGGAGCTGGTCCCTGATACTGCGGGAGGCGAGGGCCTGTTTGCCCTGCCTCATTCGGCTTTGGGTTCAGGCCAGGTGAGAGGTGAATCTGCTCAGTGTGGGGCAGCAAGATTATCACAGCACAGGGGCTGTGTGGAGAGCAGGGGCCTCTGCTAGACTCTGGCCAGGGAAGGAGGTGACTGCCTAAGGGGAAAGACCCTGGGAAAAACTAACTGGGGAGGAAGGTTCCAGGGCACTCATTCCTATTTCACTGCCTCTTCAGATTTGAGTGAGAATATCGAGGAAATTGTATTGATAATTATCGTGGTCCCTGAATACCGCCAGGAGAGCTGTGAGGGACTCACAGTCTGTTGCTTTCTGCTGTTTGCTAAAATATCAGCACAACAACGGGGTGGTGCTGGGGACAGCTGCACAGTATATCCTTTACAATGGGTGTCAGGACTGCAAAGAACACCTGTTGGAGCCCTGGAGGAGCAGTGGTTAAGAGCTCGGCTGCTAATCAGAAGGTCGGCAGTTCAAGTCCACCAGCCGCTCCTTGGAAACCCTATGGGGCAGTTCTGCTCTGTCCTGTAGGGTCACTATGAGTTGGAATCCACTCAACAACAATGGCAGTGGGTTTGGTTTTGGTTTAAACACCTGTTAATCTCGCGGTTTCCCGGGGTCATTTGGCTATCCCGGCTGGCGAGATGCGGTCACCTTCCCCCCACCTCGTAGGCCTCTCTTTGGAGCTTTGTGCTGAGCAGGGATCTGTGAGTAGCTGTACTTCTTCCCGAGCCTTCCTGCTTGCTCTCAGGTACCACCTTCAGGAAGTGCGGGGTAGCCGAGCTGCTGTTTTGCCTCTGTCCTGGTTTCTTTTTCAAAACTGTCACAAATTTCATGGTTCAGGTTTTTTTTGTTTTAAATTGTCTTTCTGATTAGTAATAGATAAAAACTAAGTCAAACTAATAGATGTTAATGTTTTATGAAGAAAAAGCATCGTGAAAAATGGTGAGTCTTATGATTTTACGTACAGTCTCAGTTTATTTTCTGGTTTCAATAGAACAAGTTGAAATCATCGCAGAAGGATAAAGTTCGTCAGTTTATGATCTTCACACAATCTAGCGAGAAAACAGCAGTAAGTTGTCTGTCTCAAAATGACTGGAAGTTAGATGTTGCAACAGACAATTTTTTCCAAAATCCTGAACTTTATATACGAGAGAGTGTAAAAGGATCATTGGATAGGAAGAAGTTAGAACAACTATACAATAGATACAAAGGTGAGTGTTTGCTTACGACTTTAAATATTTTCCCTCATGTTTTCCAGTTTACGTGCTTGTAAAAAAGCAAGTAATCCGTAGAACATAAACAGAGTGGTTTGGTGTGTCCCAAGAACTCTGTAGATCTTGGAACTCGCTCAAGTCTGAGAGGAGAAATTATTTTCCCTTTTTCCCTAGAATTTCTTCTTGGGTTCTTTGTTTTCTTCCCCTTTTTCTTTTCTCTCTTTGTTTTTCTCCCATTGGGTGTCCAGCTTGAGAATGGGAGGTGGGAGGATGTGTTTTTTTTTTTTCTCATTTTTATAAAATGCAGCTGAACCAGATTTTAAGAAAAGCTGAACAACAGTTTTAGTAGCTTTTTAAAAGAATTATAAAGTAATACATACTTTCTAAAAGTTAAATAACATGTAGTGAATAAAGAAAAGCTTCATAATTTCTCCATCTTTCTCTCATTTATTCTCCCGGGTTAGCCAGTATTTAATAGCTAGGTTGGCTCCCTCAGTGTTTTTCTGTTGTGTTTATGCAAAAATATGTATACAGTGTTTCTACACATTTTTCCAAAAATGGATGTATATTGTGTCCATAACTCACGCTGACAAGTCAAAGGTTATTTTTGACTTCTTTTATTGCTCGGAGATACTGCCAGGTGACGTTTGGAGAGGTGCTAGCACGTCACGTGGTGTCTACGTGTGCCTGCTTCTCCTTGTACTTGTTGCTAGTTTTAATTTTTTACCCGTCCGATTAGTAAATATTGATAGTTTTTCTCCTTTGATTTAATTAAGAAACAGATGCTTGTATTGTTGACATTGAGTTTGAATTGGAGACAGTCTTCCTGATACTCTGTCAAGTGAGCTCTGGTTAAACAGCACTTTGTTTTACTGTGACACTGTTTCTTTAGAACACCCACTTAAACAAAATATGGGTATTTTCAGGTAGAATCCCTTATCCCTACATAGAAGTGTTTGGTATTTTTGAGTGTGTATAGAGTGTGGGACATTTTTCACATGAATAAATGAGACTTTTTATATTAAGTGTCCATCTGCATATTCACCCTCCTGACCATCTTAAGATGCTATTTAGGGTGCAGAGTGGCTTTAGATATTGTATGGGGAGAATATCTGTCAGAGTACTATTGCTTCATGTCTTTGGCACTTTGTGATCATTTTTTAATGGAACGTAAGGTGTCACCTTTTTCAGTTTTGGGGATGTAGCAGAATAAACTGTGGCACTAATTTCATATTGTGCTGTTGTTTTTAAAGATCCTCAAGATGAAAATAAAATCGGAATAGATGGTATCCAGCAGTTCTGTGATGACCTGGCCCTCGACCCAGCCAGCATTAGTGTGTTGATCATTGCGTGGAAGTTCAGAGCAGCGACCCAGTGCGAGTTCTCCAAACAGGAGTTCATGGACGGCATGACGGAATTAGGGTGAGTCCGGGATAACCATAGGAGACTAGGCACGTTACCGTGAGGGTTCCTGTAGAACTGTGTTGTACTGGGAATTTCAGAATGGAAGTAGGAAACTCACTGGCCCACAAACATCACCATAAGTGGAAACGGGCCAGCGTGCCACGTTCCCACGTCACACAGTTGCTGGCATTGCCAGTCATTGTGTGGCACAGCCTGTGCCATTCACATTGCACTGTTATGGTTAAAATAAGGTTACTGTGCTTTATTACTTCACGTGGGTAAGTGACGTGAACAAGTTTGTAAGTTATTTCCTAACGGGAGACTATGAAGTCTGAATTTATAAAATCTTAGAATTTTAAACTGAAGTTACCTTAAAAGTTGCTAATCATTTTTCCCCCACCTGTGCGTTGACAACTGATTAGGTAAATGTCTTTGGATAAGTAGACCAAAAAACTCAGGAGCAAGTAGGTTTCGCTAAGGACCTATGCTCTGTATTTAATGAGGCTGCAGAAGTGTTCGGCCTATGGGTAGGTGACAGGCTGCCCTTTCTGTTTTCATTGTGCCTCTTTTCAGTAACAAAGCTAATATTTATTGAGCATTTACGTTATTTCAGAAACTGTACTAAGTACTTCCCTTGTCTCTTCAGAACAACTCTGTGAGGGAAGGAGTGTTTATACCCCCATTTTAGAGATGAGGAGACTGAGGCATGGAGAATGATAGGATTAGGAAGTATTCGAGCCAGGATTTGAATCCAGGCATTCTGGTTCTTGAGCCTGAGGGCCGTTGTAATCAGCCAGGGTTCAGTCGTAAGACAAAAGCTACACCAATAATTTGAAAAGGGAAATTTTAGTATAAGAAATTGTTTAATAAGTAAAAGGTAGTTAACAGCTGTTGTTGTTGGGTGCCTTGGAGTTGATTCTGGCTGATAGCAATCCCGTGTGACCCAGTACAACTGCCCAATAGGTTTTCCTGGGCTGTGATCTTTGTGGAAGCTGATGGCCAGGTCTTTTTCCCACGGAGCCGCTGGGTAGGTTTGAGTTGCCAACATTCTGGCTGTCCGTCAAGTGCTTAACTGCTGTGCCACCAGGGCTCCTTGGTTAACCACTAAAAGGGGTAAAAGAAAACTCTGATGTCCAACAAGTAGCAACTGCAGGAAGCTGCTGCCACCCCGGGCTCAGGGAAGTGAGCAAGGAAGGAACTTAGAAACATAAGAGGTCCCCACAAGGCTGAGATTCGGACCTGGGAGGAAAGGGTGTGGCTGCTGCAGGAACACGTGCCCCGATGCCTGCCTGCCACTCTGTGGAGAGGAAGCTGGGAGAGTTGCTGTCACTGGGGTGAGCACTGCAGGCACCTCCCAGCACACGAAAACCCTTGTCCCGCTGCAGAAAACCAGCCAGGATAAGGAAAGCTCCTTTTCCTCGCCAGCCTTAGCTGGCAAGAAGGGTGTGGTCTTGTAGTTTGTAGTCCATTATCACAGAGTAGTGCAAAGAAGAGTGGGTTTAAAGCTGAGATAAGACGATAAATTAATAACTGGCTCAGACACTGTGCTGTGCAGCCAGCGCCAGCCCAGTCCTGCGCTTGCTGGAATTTTCTGTGCTTGCTCAGTTTTCGTTAGAACTCAAAGGAAACAAGGTCTCACCTTTTTTTTCTTTTTTTTATTTGAAACTGAATTCAAGTAAAATGTAATGAACTTTGAAATTAGAATTTTAATTTACAAACTAAAGTTCCGAAAGATGATGTTAAGAATATAGAAGGAGAATGAGAGCAGAATTCTTTAGAGGCCAACAGATGGGGTGACTGGCTTGTGGAATCTGCCCCGGTTGCAGTAGTGCATTTTTACCTCATCTTCTTGAGGCTCTGGGAAGAAAGGAGAGCTTGATACTTGGACCCTTTCAACTCCCTGGAAGCTGAATGCTTTACAGATACAGAAAACGTTTGTTAACATTGAGTCGGAGGTGGTGGGGGCCTGAGCTGACCACTATTATTGCACTTTGTGTAGAACAGGAAGTGAGTTTTCAAAGGGGATGCTTCTTCGCCTAAGCAGGAGGTTAGGCTTTCAGATAGTTTGGAAGCTAGACATGTGATTAGTTACTACGTAAGGACTGTCTGGGAGCCCTGGTGGTCCAGTGATGAAGCACTTGGCTGGCAATCGAAAGGTCGCCCACTCCTCCTCGGGAGAGAAGACCTGGCAGTCTGCTCCCATAACGATCGCAGCCTAGGAAGCCCCCTGGGGGGATTCTGTTCTGTCCTATAGGGTCGCTGTAGGGTTGTTGTGAGTTGGAATAGCCTTGACGGCACACAACAACGATAAGGATTGTCTAGAGTCCCTGGGCGGTGCAAACTGTTGTGCTCGGCTGCTAACTGAAAGGCTAGAGGTTCGAGTCCACCCAGAGGTTCCTTGGAAGAAAGGCTTCTGAAGAATCAGCCATTGAAAACCCTATGGAGCACAGTTCTACTCTGACACACATGGAGTTGCCGTGAGTTGGAGTTGACTGGATGGCAGCTGGTGATACAGTTTAAACTGGCGGTTGTCTTGCTGATTACAACACGTTTTTGTCTATACACTGCAGCCGACTTCTGCAAGTCAAGGCGGTGATAGTCCAGTGGATTATGTAATTAAGAGTAATAGCTCATTTCTTTGAACAAGAGTAGTTATTTCAAACATTTACTCACTCCAGGCCTTTTCTCCCCCTTTAACCCATGCATGTATATATTTATGTAATGTGAAAAGATGAAATTCTCCAACTATCTGGTTTTTTGAAAAAGAAATTCTGTGAAGTAAAGATAAGCCTGTCTAGGAATAAATAAGTTCTTAATTTATAGTGAAGAAGTTCATCTTTTATAAACTTAATTTTACAATGTAGATGTGACAGCATAGAAAAACTAAAGGCCCAGATACCCAAGATGGAACAAGAATTGAAAGAACCAGGACGATTTAAGGATTTTTACCAGTTTACTTTTAATTTTGCAAAGAATCCAGGACAAAAAGGATTAGGTAAGCATTTTTAAAAATTCTATTTGGTGTTTCAGATACGTTGACGGTGTCACTTTTCTTTTGAATAGAAAGTTATTCGTTTTGAGTAAAGTCATCTTGAAAATACTAATGACTGGACAGCAATGAGAAGTAGTGAACATTTAATCAATCAGAAAATGCTGTACATATCTGATAATAGAGTTACCCCAGGTACGATGTGTGACCATTGATTTTCAATTTTTTGTTATAATTATAATACAGAAGATAGTTGTTGAAGCTCCACTGATCATTATTGATTTATTTATGATCCAGAAGATATTTTAGGTGGGGTGTTCTGTGTGTGTCTGTGAGGTCAGTTTGGCTGATCGTACCCTTTAGATCTTCTGTATCTTTGTTGAGTTTCTTTCTAGATGTTCTGTCCTTTACCGAGAGTGGTGTGTTCAAGTCTCCTACTTTTGTGGAACTGTCCATTTCTCTCTTCAGTGCTGTAGAGTTTGTTTTATGTATTTGGGAGCCCTGTCATTGGGTGTGTAGATGTTTGTCATGGTTGTGTCTTCATGATGGATCATCCCCAGAAGATATTTGAGGATCTCAGGATCATACGTCATCTCACTGCAGATGTGCAGGAACATCATTTTAAAACTTTTGATTCATGAAGTGCCAGGTGATTCTGTTGTCGTTATGATAGAGCTAGAAACTAAAAAAAGAAAAAGGACATGGTTATCATTCGTAATCTTACCATCCAGAAATAAGCACTCTTCACAGCTTAGGTCCATCTCCTCTATATAATGTCCATACTTGTGGGGTGGGGGTGGGGGAGATGACGAAGAGCTGTGGAAGTAAAAGATACAGTGTCATCATTATCCATAAGAACTTACAGTTTACCCAGAAAGATTGGACAGGAGCAGATAATATAGTAATACAATAACGTGTGTACGGGTTTTGGAGAAAAGGAGAAAGGGTTCAAAGCAGAAGTTGGCAGGAGGCTATTGGAGAGCAAGGTGCGGGGTAGGAACTGAGGAAGGATTTGGTGCTTGGCCAGGCAAGGGAAGACAGAAGGTATTCAGGGAGAGGACAGGCAGGACTGAAGCCCTGAAGCCTCAGGAATAAGCTGGACTTCTTGGTGGAAGGGAGAAGACCCCGGTCTGATTTTATTGGGAACGCCTGTTTGAAGACTGAATTGGTGAGATGGAGCACAACAGATGACCATGGAGGTCTTTTGAAAACAGGGCAGAAAGGTTTAAGTTGGAATTTGTGGGAACCGGGGACCCGCTGAGGGTTTTGAGGATGGCGGTAGCTCCCGTTTAACGCGAGGCCCGTGTGCCTGGCCACATGCTGAGCCCTCGACTTGCACCGCCCCGTTTCCCGTGTGACAGCCATGTGAGTCATTCGGTCTTTGATTGGGATGGTTCACCCCCTGCCATGTGCCATGTGATAGGAAGAGTGTTAGCCTGTAGTGCTTACTTTGCAGGTAAGACTGAGGCACAGGACGGATAAATAACTTGCTCGATGATGGCTGTGAGGTATTGTGTTGAAGATGCTGCAGTTGGAGAGGCTGATAGGGAAGTCACGTATTAACCCTTCTTTATACTTCAGAGAGAACAGCATCAAGAAAAGGGTTATGTGAATAGAGAGTAGACCAAGGACGCGACTGAAAGCTAGAGAGAAAGGGATGAACGTAAAACGTTTATAATGGATAATTGGCCTGAGGAGTGACCAAGCATGGCTGAATTGGTTAAAGATTTACACACTATCTGTAACGCAGAATTCTAAGTAATGAAGCCTCTTTTCCAGCTGATTCTGCTGTTTAGGTTGGATTTTATTCCTACAGGAAAAATTCTCATCTCACAATACGTGAGCTGGGATGCGTAGGGCCCGTTTCTGTATCTTCGCCGTCTGTCTGTGGCCGTCAGTAACGGGGTGGCTTGTTTTAGTTTCTCCTCCTTCCCACAGGTGAAAACCCCTTGAAGCCTTTGAATTTACATTTATACATTAAAAGAATTATTTTTACCGTATTTAGAAATGTAGCACAGTAATTTTATAAGATTAAATAGAATGTTGCGAACATCAAACGCTAATTTAATGGGCTTTAACGAATCTTAGTTATATCCGTACCCCTTACTAGAGCACAAAATAAATAAAATTTGGGGGAATTTATAGTTTTTATATTGAGTCGTAGGGTTTTTTTTAAATAAGTGGTGAAAATAAAGCAAAATTAAGTTTCTGTTGCTTTTGGATATATTGATATGACAGCAAATCGGAAGTTTAGATTATAGGGAAAAAGTTATGTGTATTGAACGTATGAAAAATGTGAGACAAATCGTAGTTTCTGTGTCTTTGGTTTTGTATTGGGATAGAGCGTCAGAAAATGTAATGACTTTGCTTAGTTGAAGAGCTTAATTAAAGGGGTTCACAGGGCTCTTAAAGTACAAAATTCGGCAGAGAGGAACTAGAAGATCACAGGAAAGAGTGGAGGCCCGAGACAAGTTGGCAGACATTGACAGTGACCGCTGTGGTTTTCAGCTGTGCTGGCTGTGAAGACCTGGTGTTTTCCACGCTCACTTCAGTTTTCCTAATCTGACTCCTCGTGACACCCGGATAGGTGTTTCCTCGGTCACGTCTGCTGTGAAGTCACCTGCCATTTCCTGTCATCTTCTGGATCTCGAGTTGAAAAGGATTCCCTGAGCCCTCTGTCAGATCTAACCCAGGTGTACCCAAAGTAGTGTCCCTGCCCTGAGCCCTCTGTCACATCTAACCCAGGTGTACCCAAAGTCGTGTCCCTGCCCTGAGCCCTCTGTCAGATGTAACCCGAGTGTACCCAAAGTCGTGTCCCTGCCCTGAGCCCTCTGTCAGATCTAACCCGAGTGTACCCAAAGTCGTGTCCCTGCCCTGAGCCCTC